CTGCCTTCTTGCATCAGCCTCTCCTCCCGTCCTCGGGTCTCCTGACATTGCAAAAGGGTGTTTCGGCGGTATTTGCCTTGGGTCCCAGCTCGGGTTCGTGCTGCCGAGTGGAGTTCAAAATACCTAGCTGGAAAAACAAATAGAGATCAAAGAGGACAAAATGGATCCTGAATTTCTTCCAGATTGATTTTTTTTTTTTTTTTCAAAATGCATATCTCCTGCACCGAGATTACAAAACCGTACATTTTTCTCCTCTCTTCCTCCTCGGTCACTTTTACTTTTGCCTCATTGTCATTCCTGAGGGATTAGAAACTAACTCCTCTTCTTTTTCTTTTTCTTTCTTTCTTTTTTTTTTTGGGGGGGGGAAAGGAAAGACAGTTTGCTGTGCAAACCTGTCCTATAAATCTCCCTGTTTTTGAAAGAATCAAGAGGGCCTTGTTGCCAAGAGATATTAAGAGGTTTAGTCAGAGTGTCCACGTGAAAGTGGCAGTGTTTGCTAGGCGGACATGGATTATGTTTTAAAGGCTATAGCAGGTTAGTTTTCTTCTGCCATTTCTCCTCAGCACTTGGAGAGAATATTGGCTAGATCATCCTCCAGAATCATGAAAATAAATGCCGTTTGCAAACTAATCAGTTATTCACGTCGTTTATTCAGCACCGATGCTGGAAGGTAACTCCCCAATTAGGAGCCATTTCAGCTGTAACCGAAGTCATGCAGGCATTGCACGCTTTGTTTCTAGCCTGTTATATCTCTACTTTCTTTAGTGACAGCCGTACTCGGCTGTGCTCAGTAGGAACCACGGCTCAGCTCTCATTATGAGCGTGTCACAGAGCAGGTCTGTGCAGCCTGTGTGCCAGATCTGGTTTATGGGACAGTTGTTTCCGCTAAGAGTTTTTCACCGTCACTTAAAACAGGGTTTCTTTGCCTCACAGCTCCTGAGTAAACTCCTGAGTACAATAGAATCAGTTCCCTGCCTATCGGTTAGACACCCGGTATCGGTGTCTAGTGATAATACCCTTCAACCCTCCCCTTGCTCCTTCTCCCCTCCCCTTCCTCTTCCCCAGAGATGAAACTGTGGATCAGGTAGAGTCCAGGTCTGTCTGCCCTTAGGAGCTGTGTAAAAGCCTCATGCTGCCTTTTCCCTTAGGCAGGAGGATGGTGCTGATGAAAATAGAAAGAGCATAATGGTGGGAAAAAGTAGGGAAAAACTCAGGGGGGAGGGGGGAAATGTTGTGGGCATAAATACATGAGAGATTGTGCTAGATGTTCAGATAGTTGGGACATGCGGGCCATATAAGTGCTCAGACAGATAGACGGTGAGGTCTGTCCTTCAGTTCTCTCCTTATTTGTCCGTTGGTCGCCTGGGCACCACGGTGATGGGAACGTTAGAAATACCAACAGATCTCACGTAGGCAGCTTGACGATGGCTGTGGGCATGGCAGAAAGCATGACTCTTCACGTCGGGAGCAGGGTTTTGTGCTTTGATGATAATATTTATCTGCACTGTTAATCAGACTGTCATGCTGAATAAAACCTATCTAGCTAGCCAGGCGCCGTTGGAGAGAATTAAATAAAAGCCCTGGCAGAGGCTGAGTTGGGAAAGCAGGGTCCAGCGCATGTCAGGCTGCTTTCCTAAAGGTGAGGGAGGAGAGGTGCTGGAATCACGGTGCTCCTCTGGTCAAGGCAGCAGGGGGATGCATCGCTGTTGAGGGCAGTGAGGCCGGGACAGTGGGAAATTGTGTCATGGTCCGGGTTGGGAAGTGCTGATGCCACAGGTGTCTGGCTCCACTTGTGCCGATAGCCTTGCTGTGTAGGGAGAGGGAGGAAAAGTGGCTTTGCAGTGCCACTGTCCCAGCTGTTTGCCAGTGCCTGAGCTGTGGTGTATGGTCCTCACGCCCCGTGGGGTCAGGGAGGTTGGAGTTGTTGTCCCCTTCCAGGCCCCTGTTTCCTATAGAATGGGGAATGGCCGGTCGCTCCTGATCTTCCTTTGTTTGAAGGTCTCGGCTGCAGCTTGGTGGCAGGTCACTCCTGACAAGGGTGTGGGAACTCTTCCCTTCCTGCTCTGAAAGGCACTGGGACCTGGCTACGCCAGCTGTATTGCCAAAGGGAAGAGGCAACGATCAGACACTGAGGGAGGGAGAGCGAGCCTGTGACTAGACTGCTAATGATCACACACCCACCAGGCTTGCTGCTTTTGGTGTGTCTCTGCGCCAGGCCATGCTGGGAACCACCAGAACCTGCCTCCCAAGCCCTTCGGCGGACGGGACGTAGCGGGTCACCTTCCCAGAGTCGCTGCTTGCCCTTGCTCTGAAGACACGCTGAGAGGAGAGCTCCTTGGGGAGCAGAGCAGAGGGAGGCCCATGCTGACACCTTGGAGGGGCTCAGTCATTGTCAGCAAACCTAAATACGCTCTCCTCTCCATTCTGCTGCGTGTCAGAGGTGCCTCTGCTGTGCTGGCAGCTTGCAGGATTACCAACCGCTGTCTTCAATGTACAATGGAGAAGGAGTGCAGTGAGTCCCCCCCCCCACCCCTTAAGTAGAAACCGCTGAGAAGAATTTCTAGCGCCTAAGACGAAAAGTGCCTTAACTCCTGTCCCAGAGTCCCTCTCAAAGTGGATGGATTGTTTGTTCCAGTCCTAAACAGTTACAAAGCTCTTTTAATGAGGCTGCAAAGATTAGGGGGAGGGGAAGGGAGAGAAAGAGTACTGGTGGTGGTGGTGAGGGGGGTGATGGTTGTAGAGGAATGACTTGATTAACCTTTTCTCTCCCTCCAGAGAATAACTTGCTTCATTCTGGAACTGGAGGAGAAGGGAAGGTGCAGACACACAGAGGGGGTGAGGTGGATCGATTTGTTAGGGAGGGTTTTGCCCCACTTCAGAACGTGCATTGGCTTCAACGTCCGAAGGGCACAAAAAGGAGCTTCACCTTGATTAGCCCCATTCCCAGCGTCATTTACCCCTCTCACAAGCTCAGGGGTTGCTTCCACACCTCCGGGAAATGTTGAAAATCTATTGGAAAGAAATTGTGTTACAGAGTTGTTGAGTAATTCCAAAAGCCAGCAGAGGAGAACATGACCTTCAGGCTTCCACCGAAGGGCACGCTGGGCCTGCTTGTTCCTTGGAAGGCTTTTGGTTTCCAGTTGCCCTGTATGATATGTAGCAGCTTGGTCTGAAGCGAGGCAAGATCCCCCACCCCATCTGCTCTTCTCGTGGACAGGCTTTGAGAGCACCAGCCACAGGTGAAAGGCACGGCTAAAAGGGCAGAGAAGTTTCTCAGCGTAGTGGGCGAACACCATGTTACTGGTAGTTCTGCGAAACCTTTCGGGTTTCTGGTGAGAGCTCCCCTTGAGTGCTCAGAAGCAGCATACAGAGCTCAGCCATGGGGAGCCCAGCACCCTCCTTCACCCCACTGCTGGTAGGCTTTGTACCTATCTCAATTTCCTTCCTCTCAGGGTGGAATTGCAACCTGGGTGTAGCTGAGCTCTGGGAGAGGATTCTAGCTCTTGTTCCAGGTACATCGGGGCAGGGAGAGGTGCTGGCCAGGTGGCAGGTGAGCAGTGAAAGTGTGCGGCTTATATCTGCTTTCTGGCACCTGTGTACTGTGCGTGTGTGGGTGCGTGTGTGCAGGGCGGCAAGGGGCTTGGCAGCAGAAGGCTGGGCGGCCTCGCAGGGAGAATGGGCAGAGCAACCCTGGAGATGTCTCCGAGCTAATTTTGCTCAGTCCATCATGGTCATTCTGTGCGTGAAGCACAAATCCCTCTGCGGAAGGTCTTGGGGGCACTGTGACTTGAATAGGCTTATTTGGCTAGTGATTCTCTTCCTGTGCTATGGCACAAATTGGGGCTTTTCTGCCCTGAAGCAGTTTTCTTTTGACCCACAGAACTTGGGGCACTGAGTGGCTTTGGAAGGCCGCTGCAACCTCTGCTGCCTCCATTTTGTTTGTGCTGTTGCAGTGACCTTCACACTTCAGGAACGAAACTGTTCCTCAGAACCTGCTTTTTAAACTGTTATCGCAGCCTTAGCACTGCGATTGGGCACGGGGCCCCTCCTCCCCAGGGAATAAAGGGATCCATGCACGGGGTGGCTCAAGCCTGGACCGATGTGGTATGCCCAGGTACAGAAGGACTCAGCCAAACTGAGAAGCAAGGAGCTAGGTCAGGGGAGCCTTAGACAAAGGGAAGTGTGCACAGACACAAAGGAACGGCTGGGAGAGGGGCTTCTGGGGCTTAGCCAGCTCTCTTTCTGCCTCCTTTTAAAAGCCGACCCTTTTAAAAGGTGCTCACAAGGTGGTACTTGCCCTGCGCGCAGGGCTGCCTGGAAGACCATAGATGGCAGATTCCTGTTGTGAGCTTGAGGTGGACTTTGCCTGCTTAGTTCAGTCATGTTTCTGGCTGGAATTACAACTGTGAGATCAGGGAGGCCTTTTTCTAAGCCTAAATGCAGTGCATTGCTGATAAAACAACGTTTTCTGTGCATGCATCGCTACTATTTTTAGGCCTCTGCTGAAATGCAGCTGTGTCTGGGGCGCGTGGCGTCACACAGGTGGCAACCTACGTTGCACAAGCGAAGAGACTGGGGCATTTTCTGGTTTTGCTTCAGAACTGAACAGCAGGGGGAAACCTGACTTGGCTGGAAAGTTAAGTCAGAACTAAAACCCTCACACAGAGCAGGAAGAGTGGAGTTTTTGTTATACCTGGGATTTGGAAAGACTTCCTTAGCAAAGCGGCCTGACGTTTCTCCATCCTGATCTTGGGGTGGGGTATCTGTTTCCACTACCGCCCGCTCCAGCTGCTTGGGAGCGCCCCTTTGCCGGCCTAGGACAGCGGGCATGAGCGCGGGGCTCAGCTTGGTGGGCTTGGGGGCCTTCCTTTTGTGCTCGGGAAGGAGGTGGGAGCGCGGGGAAGGGAGCCTTGCCTCGGCCGCGCCATGGAGCAGCCGGGGAACGGGCCCCTTTGGTGGGGGCCTGCAGCACCCTCTGCGCCAAGGGGAGAGGAGGGAAGACAGAGCCGTTGCGCGGAGTTACTGGCAGAAGCAGTGCTGCAACGGTTAACCGCTCTGACGCGGGGGCCAGATATCGACACCTCTGCGGCCACCACCGCTCAGCGACAGACATGTGTGACATTGAAAGAGGAGCGATGCCCTTTCGAGCC